CTGTCGTATTACATGTGCAATATCGTCCGAGCAACCCCGAGCCCGAACCCGCGCCCGAACCCTCACACACTCATTCTTAGTGAACAAGAAAATAATGCTTGACCCTCGTAGTAGTAGTAGGTGGTCGTAGTAGTCAAATCAGTAATATAGCTGAAAGCAGTAGCGGTCGTAGTGTTAATTGTAGAAGTAGTGGTACAACTATTAGTACGACGAGTAGTACTAGTAGTAGGAGTAGTAGTCGTCGCAATCGTAGTACTGGAAATAATAGTAACCGTGGCAGTAATACGAATAATCGTCGCCGTAACAATATTCATCGTCGTCGTAGTGCTAGTGGTAGCAGCGACGGTAATATAGAGCAGTGGTCGTACCAGCAAAGGCAGTAGTTGCAGTTAACATGGTTAAACAATACTGAAAGTGGTGGTTGTGACAGTCGCAACGATGAGTGTTATAGTCGTAGCGGTAGTCGTAGTAATAGTGGTGATGGTGGTGGTACTATTCGTAGTAGCCGTCGTCGTCGTAGTAGCAGTGATAGTAGTCGTGATCGTGGTAGTAGTAGTAGTAGTAGTAGTAGTAGTAGTCGTAGTAGTAGTAGTAGTAGTAGTCGTAGTAGTAGTAGTAACAGTAGTAGTAGTGGTGACAGTAGTAGTAGTAGTAGTAGTAGTAGTAGTAGTAGTAGTAGTAGTAGTAGTAGTAGTAGTAGTAAGAGGAGGAGGAGTAGTAGTAGTCGTAGTAGTAAACGTAATAGCCGTATTGGTGGTAGTCGTAATTACTCCGACGGAAGAACCCCACATAAGAATCCTCTGGGCGAATCTGGAAAAAGCCATCACCGTCGTCCTCGTGGTTGGTGAGGCGTCCTGGCTGTCTCTTCTGCGTATATTTCCTCTCGCCTTGGCGCGGGCCCCCCTTCCACTCCTTACGTTGTCCCCATCCTCGCCCCCCTGTTTGTTCCGCGCCCCGCCACCTCCTCCCCTTCCTGTTGCATGAGCGCGCATGTCGATGTTCCTCGGCGCCGTCGCCGCCACGGCCAGCACGGGCGCGTTCTCTACTGGTCACGTCGCGCAGCCGTTGGGACAACCCCGCGGGCCAGGCTGTCGGGACAACCCCGCGAGCCGTTGGCGCGCAAGACCAAGCCGTTGGGACAACCCCGCGGGCTTCGAGCGAGGCGCAGCCGCGCTCAGGCGGAAGGCAGCACGAAACCCAGCTCTGCCGCGAGCTGCTTCGCCTCCGCCCTGGACAAAACCGCTCTCTTGTCGAACTCCAGGAGCGCCTTCCGCAGGGGCGCCGGCGGCCCGCGCTCCAGGAACTCTCGCGGCGGCGGCCGCAGGATCAGCATGTTCCGCATGCACGTGGCGCGGGAGAACATGACGTAGAGGTGCAGCCACCACTGCTCGTCCGACATGCCCGTGCGGCCAGCGTCCTCGTCTCTCGCGCAGTCGATGGTGACGCCCTTGCGCAGCGTCTGGCCCTGCGACAGCGTGGAGGTCAGGTAGGACGCGTGCGTCAGGGTGAACCCCGAGCGGCGCACGCTGTGCGCCCCCGAGCTCTGCCATGTGAACTCCCTTTCGCTGGGCCTGAACATCAGCAAGCTCCGCGCCCGCGCCTCGGCCTGGCCGTCGTCGTCGGCGCCTTCGGCGCCCTGTCGCAGCACCTCGGCGACCTCCTGGTAGATCGGAGACTCCTTGAAGCCGTGCACCTGCAGCCAGATTCCCTGCGGTAGGAAGCGGGGGCGAAAGAGCTGGCCTGCCGAGCACTCCTCGTAGCGCTGCTCGTCCTCGCGGTGGAACTCGAAGGACACGACGGTGGCCCGCTGCTCCTGCACGAGCCCCAACTTCTTCTTCAGCTCCTCCTGCGCTGCCGTGAACCGCACCTCCATGCCGACGTGGGCCGGCAAAACGCCGTGGATGTCCCCCGTCTTGTGCATGTCCGGGACGTTCAGGAGGCGCCGACCCGCGTCGGGCTCGCCCTGAATCGTGCCGCACTTGTCAACGGCCTGCAGGAAAACAAGGGGCACGCCCAGACGCCGAGCGTCGCGACGAGCGCGCGTGTTGATCCACCTCGCCAGCGTCTCCCAAGATATGCCCATGCCGTAGCCGAGCCGAAAGTTCTCGTGCTGGTGCCGAGGGTCCAGGACGCCCTGGTTGTCCGTGGCCAACGTCTTCTCCCAGGCGGACCAGACCTCAGGTGGGAAGGGCTTGCCCTCGCGCATGCAGCCCAGGAACGTGATCAGAGGGTCCCCGGGCTCGAAGCGCTTCGTGCCCTTCAGCTCGAAGACGCAGGGGATCTGAGAGAAGACCTTGATGGCGTGCTGGATCTCCACCGTCGGCGGGTCCGCGTACCTGTACGTCCAGGCGCTCGTTCACGTCCGTCAGGAGGCCAATGCTGCCGGTGGGCTTCAGCTGCAGGAAATCGCCGAGGTGCAACACGATGGGCACGCGCCCGAAGTGGTGGCGTGGCCGCTGGTAGTTCGACTCCTGCACGTCGTGCGTGTCACTGCGTCCATGGCAGGCGCGAAGGTCCAGCGCGTTGTACAGCGCGGCTCAGACTTCCTCGCAGTTCACTCACAGACGAGGCTCCCGCCTGAGACTTCCTCCATATTCAGGCTTGAGGAGCCCAAAAGTGACGACAGTTACAAGGTTCCGATGACTCGCTCGGATTACCAACATGATCTGCGGGACCCATAGGGAGGGGGCTCCCGCCTGAGACTTCCTCACAATTCACTCAGAGACGAGGCTCCCGCCTGAGACTTCCTCCAAATTCAGGCTTGACGAGCCCAGAACTGACGATAGTTACAAGGTTCCGATGACCCGCTCGGATTACCAACATGATCTGCGGGCCCCATAGGGAGGGGGCTCCCGCCTGAGCCTTCCTCAGAATTCACTCACAGACGAGGCTCCCGCCTGAGACTTCCTCCAAATTCAGGCTTGAGGAGCCCAAAAGTGACGACAGTTACAGGTTTCCGATGACCCGCTCGGATTACCAACATGATCTGCGGGCCCCATAGGGAGGGAGCTCCCGCCTGAGACTTCCTCCCAATTCACTCACAGACGAGGCTCCCGCCTGAGACTTCCTCCATTTTCAGGCCTGGGGAGCTCAAAAGTGACGACAGTTACAGGATCCCGATGACCCGCTCGGATTACCAACATGATCTGCGGGCCCCATAGGGAGGGGGCTCCCGCCTGAGACTTCCTCACAATTTACTCAACGATGATGAGGATGAGGATGATGAGTGGTGGTGAAGATGAGTGGTGAAGAGGATGATGATTGATTGTGAGTGGTGGTGGCGATGATGATGTTTGAATGAGGATGATGCCGATGCCGATGATGATGATGATGATGTTCGTGAGCGTGTGAGAGAGTGCGAGTGATGATGATGATGATGAGTATGTGAGTGACTAAGCATGTGAGAGAGCATCATCGATGATGCTGATGAGGTTGATGATGAGAGAGTGTGAGTGAGTGTGAGTGTGTGTGTGTGTGTGTGTGTGTTCCTGTTCCTGCGCGGGGTGTCCAGAGAAAACAAGAACCCCACTTTGGATGTGGGGAAAAACAGTTAAACTACCGCTAGTGGTAGTAGTCGTGGTAGTAGTAGTAGTAGTAGTAGTAGTAGTAGTAGTAGTAGTAGTAGTAGTAGTAGTCGTAGCAGCAGTAGTAGTAGTAGTAGTAGAAGTATTAGTGGTAGTAGAAAGAGCCGTAATCGTAGTAGTAGTAGTAATACTCGTGGTCGCAGGTGTAGTAGTGATAGTCGCAGTAGTAGTAGCAGCAGTAGTGGTAGAAGTAGTAGTAGTAGTAGTAGTAGTAGTAGTAGTAGTAGTAGTAGCCGTAGTAGTAGTAGTAGCAGTAGTAGTAGTAGTAGTAGTAGTAGTAGTGGTAGTAGTAGTAGTCGTAGTAGTAGTAGCACGAATAGTAGTAGTAGTAGTAGTAGTAGTAGTAGTAGTAGTAGTAGTAGTAGTAGTAGTAGTAGTAGTAGTAGTCGTAGTAGTAGTAGTAGTAAAAGTAAACAATACTAGTAGTGGTGGCAGTAATACTGATCGCCCTTGTCGTAGTATTGCGTTGGTGGTAACAGTCGTAGTCGTAGTCGTAATCGAAGTAGTAGTCGCCGTGGAAATAGTACGAAGAGTCGTAATAATACAAGCAGTCGTAGTAGTAGTAGGAAATGAATTAGCTCATGTAACAGCAAAGGTCGTAGGAGTAGTCGTAGTAGTAGTAGTAGTAGTAGTAGTAGTAGTAGTAGTAGTAGTAGTAGTAGTAGTGGTAGTAGAAGTAGTAGTAGTAGTCGTATTAATAATAGCAATCGCACTAGTAGTAGTAGTAGTTGTACTAGTAGAAGTCCTACTAATAGTAGCCGTAGCAGTAGCAGTAGTAGTAGTAGTAGTAGTAGTAGTAGTAGTAGTAGTAGTCGTACGAGAAGTCGTAGTCGTAGTCGTAGTCGTAGTAGCAAGTAGTAGTAGTAGTAGTAGTAGTAGTAGTAGTAGTAGTAGTAGTAGTAGTAGTAGTAGTAGTAGTAGTAGTAGTAGAAGTAGTAGTAGTAGTAGTAGTCGTAGTACTTGTAGTAGTAGCAGTCGTAGTAGTAATAGTAGTAGTCGTCGTCGTAGTAGTCGTAGTCGTAGTCGTAGTCGTAGTAATAGTAGGAGTAGTAGTAGCAGTAGTAGTAGTAGTAGTAGTAGTAGTAGTAGTAGTAGTAGTAGTAGTAGTAGTAGTAGTAGTAGTAGTAGTACTACTACTACTTGTAGCCGTAGTAGTAGTAGTAGTAGTAGTAGTAGTAGTAGTAGTAGTAGTCGTAGTCGTCGTAGTCGTAGTCGTAGTAATAGTAGGAGTAGGAGTAGGAGTAGGAGTAGGAGTAGTAGTAGTAGTAGTAGTAGTAGTAGTAGTAGTAGTAGTAGTAGTAGTAGTAGTAGTAGTCGCAGTCGTAGTCGTAACACGGGAAGATAACGCCAGAAGTAGAGGGGGAGAGGGGAGCGGAGGAGGAGGAGCAGCAGCAGCAGCAGAGGGCGGCGCGCGTCCTCCTGCAGCGTGAGGATGGTCTTCTGCAGAGGCGCCGCGACGCCGAGCTGAGGGGAGGGGGTGGGTGTGCACACGTCTCGCTTAGCGTCCTCCTCCTCGATCCTCGAGGTTCGGACGGACTTTCCACCTCGAGCCTCGATCACCCTCGACTCTCGGAAAACAACCTTCTCGATGGTCTTCTACAGAGGCGCCGTGACGCCGAGCTAAGGGGACGTACACAGGTCTCCCCTACTCCAGATGTCATGAGAAGAGGGTAGGCGTCACAACCTTCCCAGACGAGCAGTTTTTAGCCCCTCCCTCCAGAAAAGCCGTGACATGGCGGCCTTTTGCACAGACAACCCAGAACCCTGCAAGACGAAGGCGGTCAGACCCCCTCCCAAAGCAGAACACCATCCCCCTTGTATTGTGAAATCCGGAGTAGCGTCCTCTCCTGGATCCTCAAGGCTCGCCCAAGATCCTCCTCGATACCCGGAGAGCGTCCTCCTGCTCGATCCGCGAGGCGCGGGGTCCAGCTCGTCGGTTGCTTCCTGCTGCTTGCTTACCCGGAGCCTCTGGAAACCTCTGGAGAGCAGGAGGGCCAGGAAAGGCTGGGTGGAGGGCGGGGCCGAGGGAGATCCGAGTGAGGAGCCGGGAGGGGGGGGACGAAGCGGACCCAGATGGTCTGGTACTGGAAATTTTCGGTAGCGATTTCGACGCACCCCGAATTTCGGTAGCGACCGGATCTTCGTTTGAGGGCGTTGAAATAGCGGATTTCAGAACGGTCTGATACCGGTATTGGGCGCTACATTTCGGTATTTCGGTAGCGACCGATCTCTGCGGAGCGCTACCGGAAATTTTCGGTAGCGGACCATCAGGGGAGGGAGCAGGAGGACGAGCGGGAGTCACAGAAGGCTGAACTGGGCCGCGGGAGGAGGGGGGGCAGGAGCACCGAGGGGGGAGTGGGGAGCAGGAGGGGGGGGAGCACGCTCACCGCAGGGGGCAGCAGAGGGGAGCTGGAGAACGAGGAAGAGGACGACGACGACATCGCCGACGACGATCCCCTTCCAGGTCCACGTCCTCGCCGTCTGACCTCCCACTCCTCGACTGATCCTCTTTCCCTCCCGTCCCTCCCTCGTCCTCCCCTTCCTCCCTCTTCCTCCCCTTCCTCCCTCTTCCTCCTCTCCTTTTCTCTTCCTCCCCTCGCTCCCCTCCCTCTCTCGTCCTCCACTCCCTCCCCTTCCTCACTCTTCCTCCCCTCCCTATCTCTTCCTACCGTATCCCTCCCTTTCTCCCCTCTCTGCCGTCCCTGAGCACTAGACTTGGCGGCGCGCAGAGGAGCGTAGGGGAGGGGAGAAGGCTGCTTAGAGAGAGGCGGGTTCTTAGAAGGGTTGGCCTTACATCTACAGACAAGGCCCACGCCTTCCAAGAAGCAGGGATGTTTCTAAGAAGCCTTCCTCCTCCCCCTAATTACCCCTCTTGGCGCATGGCCGATCAGCCCCATCTTCTTGCGGCTTTCTTCGAGTCGGACTGATATGTGCTGGCCCCTGCATCCCGCAGCCAGGCGAAAAAGCTCAGAGACAATTGCAACGCCCGCGTTTCGGGGCTCCCTTCCCACCCAAACCCCCGACGTCGTGAATTTTTCATGACGCCGACCCCCAGAGGTCTGGACCCCTTCCGGGGGACCAATTTTTCATCCTCAGCCTGTTTTTGGACGGCCCCGAGGCCCCGGCCGAGCACAGCGAAAAACCTCCCCTTGTGTTTTTGTCCACGACGCGGGAGGGGGGTCTGGGTCCCTCGCCCTCCCCCCCCTCCCTCCCTCTTCCTCTTGCCTGGGGCTTGGGAGTGTTGCCCTCCCCGCGAGGCTCCCTCGGAGGGCCTCCAGGTCTCCCGCCAGCAGGAGCAGCGCGCCGCTGAGCGCGTCGAAGGCCCGCAGGAACGTGAAGCACCTCTCCGGCGCCCCCAGGAGTGAGGGGCAGCCCCAGTGCGAGATAGGCCTAGGGGGAAAGGCATAGGGGTGGGATAAGCACAGAGGCAACCACAGGGGGGGGTATGCATAAGGGGCAACCGCAGGGGTGGGATAGGCACGTGGGTGGGATAGGCACAGTGGCAACCATAGGGCTGGGATAGGCACAAGCGGGTGATAGGCAGAAGGGGGGGATACGCATAGGAGGGGATAGGCATAGGGCGAGGGGCGTGCATCGCCCTCGAGTGGCCGATGCATCGCTTATGTGTCGTCGATGCATCGTTAATCCCAGGGCACGAGAGCCCAGACTCGAATCCGCAAGACGGATCGGCGATCTGAGGTGATCGGATCGACGGGAATCGGTGGCCAAGTCGGGAGAAGTGTAATCGGCGAGCGTCGGTATGCTAGCAAGGCTTGATTGAGAAACCGAAGGCCAGATCTGAATCCGAAGTTGGATCGACTCGGAATCGGAGCTGATCGAAATCGGATCGAATCGGAGGAGTCGTGAGAAGTCGAACTGAGCCTTGCCTCTCCGACGACCCTGCGGGGCCCCAGAGGGGGCGCCGTGGCGGCCAACGGAGGGGGCGACGCTCCTCGGGTCCTTCCATGGCTGTTCCTCTAGCACTCCTCGTGCACGCAAGCGCTCTTGGAGCCACAAAGGAGCTTCGTTCCTTGCGCATCGTTCCTTCTTTCAGCGACCCAACTGCAGGAGCGGCGCTGTGCCGCAAGTGCCTTGCCCTCAGATGCGGGCGCCGCAATCTTTTCACACTGGGCGTTTTCAGCTGGCTCTGGGCCCCGAGGCCATCCCAGACCGATCTGGCCTGAAAAGTGTAGGAGAAAGGTGAGGCCTTAGGCTCTGGTCGTGATCTTTCGCGATGCTTCAATGTTTACGCAACTTCGGATCTCATGGAACACGCTTCTCCCCCATCCCTCCCCTTCGAAATAACTACCCCCTGTCGCACCCGCAGACGTGTCGGTAGGGCGGGCCGGGCGTTTTGCCTGAAACTCCCTCACCACTTGTGACCCTGAAGCAGCCGTTTCAAGGAAGGAGTGCGGGCCGTTGTCAGCATGAAGCTCTTGCTTCTGTGCTGCGTACAATATTCTTGAAGGTTTGCAATCGTTTCAAAAGTGGAGGGCAGGTCGTTATCAATATGTGACTTTCGCCTCAGCGCGGCGAACCTTCGTCTGAAACGTTTACCAGTTTCCAACATACAGGGCGGACCCTCTTCAAAATGTGGCTCTCGCCTAAACGCCGCATACATTCGCTTCAAAATCTTGGAACAGCTTCAAGGATAGAGGGCGTGTCCTTTTCAAAATGTGGCTCTCGCCTCAGCGCCGCGCACATTCGCCGTATAAGCCTGCACCAGTTCCAAGGATGGTGGGCGAATCGTATTCAACATGTGCCTCTGGCCGTAGCGCCGCGCACATTCGCCGTAGAAGTTTGCAGCAGTTTCAAGGGTGGACGGCGGGTCGTATTCAACATGTTGTTCTCGCCTGAACGCCACGCACAGTCGTTTTGAAAGCTTGCAACGGTTACACGGATTGGTTTGGATGAAGCCCTGGGAATTGCATTCTGACGCGAATTCGGTTGCCAGGACGCATCAGTTCTTGTTGAGACGCGGTGTTGACGTCCAAGTGATGGCATTCTGGCGCAATCTAGGATTGTCGGGGCGCAACAGTCACGTTGATTCGCGGCGCTGAAGTCCCAAGGATGATGTTTTGGCACGGTTTTAGATTCTCAGATGGTTGCCTTCCAATGTGGCACTTTCGCAACAGAAAAATGCCATACGAAGAGGGAACTTGGATGGAGGTCTCACTGCAACATCGTTGATGCGTTTTGTGTTTGCACTGGTCCCTCCTTCTGCTCCTCCTCCTCCTCCTGCTCCTCCTCCTCCTCCTCCTCCTCCCTTGGCCTGGGCCATCCCTCCCGCCCGTGGTGTTGAGCAGGAGCGATAGTGGGGGGACTGACTTAGTGGGGGAAACTTTGGCTTAGAGTCGGCGATACGCCGCCAGTGGATCGGCGATATGCTCTCGATAGCGAGACTTCAAGCTCCTGGGCAGGAGAGAGGGCCGTCCTCGATTGGCGATGACTGAGCTGCTGGAGGTCGATGCTTCCTCCCCTCGCGACGAGATCCTCCCCTTCGGTTCCTTCAGGCGGGGGTCAAAAGAGATCGAATCGGAAAACGGGCTCGGACCGGAAAAAGCGGCGGATCGGGCCGCACCCGATCGCAAGACTGTGTGAATCGAATCGGATCTGGCCGGGCAGAATCAAAATCCCAGAGAGCATACACAATGTCAATATCAAGACGACCTGATGACCCCATCAGGAAGATCCGCCACCGTGCCCTTGAGGCACGACTTCAGGTCCCTTGTCGGATACCCTGGAGCCCCGTTCCTCAATCCTGAAGATTTTTCAAGGAGCCCAGATCCCAAATTCCCAAAGCGCGTCGCGTGGCCCCTGGGCTCCTGGCGGCATGTCGCATGACTTGATCATGCCCAAGAGGGCCCCGAGAACGGCCAGAAGGGTCCCGCGAGCCCCCCAAGACGGTACAAGAGGGCACCGAATCGCCAATCAATCGGTCCAAGAAGCCCAAGGTGGCCTCACGACGCTCCAAGAGGCCTCCCAAGAGGAACAAATCATTGATGCTCTTAAGGTGTTGGAAGGATTTGGGCATCTTCTCGCAATTGCATCTTCCCGACGCTCCAAGACGGCCCAAGAAGCCCCAAAGATCGCCCCAAGAGGCCTCCAAGGGGACCGCAAAACGGCCCAAGAAGGCCAAAATGGCCCAAGAGGCCTCCAAGACGGCCCAAGAGGCCGCCAAGACGGCTCCAAGAGGGGGCCCAGACGGGGGACCCGAACGGCCCCGAGAAGCCCCAAAGAGGCCTCAAGAGGATCCCAGGAGACCCCCAAGAGGCCCCAAGATGCCTCAAAAAGGCCCCACGAGGCTCCCAAGAGGCCCCCAAGACGACCCCAAGGGCCCCTGAGAGGAATCAGAACTGTCCCCGAGAGGCCGCCGAGAGCGCTCCCATCTCGAAGAGAACCCACAAAACGTCCCTGATGACTCTGGCCCACAACCCAAGCACGGTGGCGGGATGGACCGAACACCATTCGACCTGCTTGGCACGGAAATGGAGAACAAACTCGTGCTCTCCGAAGGCGCGACATCGCTTGCTCAGTGTTGTGGAGCCCTCTTGGTGTCAAGATTTTGGCACCTCCTACAAAAAGCTTACAACCCACCTTGCGAACATCAATGACTATGGTCTCTCTGGGCCTTTTTGGGTGTCTTTTTTGGGCTCCGTTGGGCCGTGGGCCGTCTTCGAACCCCTTGGGTCGTTTCGGGGCCCGCTCGGGGCTTCCAGGGGCCCCCTTGGGAGCAGTCTTGGGGCCCTCTCGGGGGTCTCCTGGGGTCCTCTTGAAGCCTCGTGGGGGCTTCTTGGGGCCGAGGACTCGGAATGTCCATTCGGGTCCTCCGCCCTGGCCCCCTCCTGGAGCCGTCCTGGCGGCCTCTTGGGCCATCTTGGGGCCATCCTGGGCGTTTTGCGGTCCTCTTGAAGGTCTCTTGGGAAATTCTGGGGTCCTCTTGGGACGCCCTGGGGCCCCCTCGGGGCCCTCTTTGCGGCCTCCAGAGGCCCGTTTGGGGCTCTTTCACTGACCTTTTGGGGTCCCCATGGGCCTCTCTTGGGCCGTCTTGAGGCCCTCTTGGTAGGCCGTCGTGGAGCCCTCTTGGGCCGTCTTGGGGCGGTCTTGGGGGTATCTTGTGCCGTCGTTGGGCGATCCTGGGAGCCTCTGGGGCCCTCGTGGACGCTGCGAAGACAGAAGAAACATATATGCTACATATGCACGTCCCCCAACACGGAATGGGATGATTGATGCCCCTTTGGGCGTGCTTTTGGATGCCTCGTAGAGCGTCTTGAGGGCCTCGGTTGCCGCCTTGAAGCCATCCTGGATCTTATGTGAACGCTCTCGGGCCGTCTTGGGGCCCTTAGGGCGCGATGGCGTGTGCGCTCTTGGGGCTGTCTTTGGCCGTCTTGGGGCCTTCTGAGGCGCTCGCGGGGCTGATTTGAATCGTCTAGGACCGAACGTGGCCGAACACCGGGTCGTGGGGCCGTCTTGGGGGCCCCTTGTGCCGTCTTGGGGCGATCCTGGGGGCCTCTTGGGCCGTTGTGGACCCTGTGAAGACAAATGAGATGGACATGTGCTAACTATGCACGTGCTCCAGCACGGGAATGGGGCGAGTTGTGCCGATGGGGCGCCCTTTTGGAAGCTTCGTGGGGCGTCTTGAGGGCCTCTTTGGTAGCCTCGAGGCCATCCTGGGCCCTCTTTGAGCGCTCTCGGGCAGCCTTGGATCCCCCTCGGGCCTCCCTGAAGCCGTCGTGACGGACTGGGCCGAAGGCCATCCGACCTGCTTGGCACGGGGACGGAACGCGCTCGTGCTCTGTGTGGGCGCGGGATCTCTGACTCAACGCTTTTTGGAGCCCTCTTGGCGTTAGGACTGTGCAACCCCATGCAACAACTGACTACCAACCTTGCCACCATCTATGAATGTGGCCTCGCTGGGCCATTTTGGGTGTCCTTTCGGGGCTCCTTTAGACCGTCTGAGGGCCCTCTTGGCGTTCTGTGGCCCTGTTGGGCCGTCTTGGGGTGCTTGGGCCGTCTTGGGGCCCTCGCCAGGCCCACCTGAAACCCTCTTGGGGTTCTCTTGGGAACCTTTTGGGGCCCTCAGGGGCATCCCTTGGGTCGTCTTGGGGACCTCGTGTGCCGTCCTGGGGGGATCCTGGGGTCCCTCGGGCGGTCGTGGACCATGTGAAGACCAAAGAAGCACACACGCTAAAATGCAAGCTCTCAAGGAATAAGGCGAGTGTTGCTTCTGGGGCGTCCTGCTGGAGCCCTCGTGGAGCGTCTTGAAAACCTTTTTTGTCGTCGTGAGGCCATCCTGGACCTTCCTGAGGCCGTCGTGGCGGTAGCGCGGGCGCTCTTGGGGC